CCTAACCTGGTCATAACCGTTCAAATTGCCTGCACAATCATGTAATTTACAGTAGTCTGAGGCAGCAATTCTCAGATACAGACTTGGACTTATTCTGTGAGAGGCCAGACAGGATGCACGCCGACAAGGCTTTCTCTCACTCCTTACCCCAGAGTTATCCTACGCTCCACACCTCTCCCCTCTTCCCAAGTTGTCTTTTCCCAGTATAGAAAATTCTTAAAAATGACCCAAGAGAACGCTCCTTATCCTACCTCCAATCGCTCCACTCCCATGCCTTCTACATTCAAAGTGACTACGACATCCATCTTCCTCATGTTCCCTCTACTCCTTCCCGACCTACCTCATCCTCTCCATTTCCGCCTTCACCAACCCTGCTCCCTCCTGGATATTCATATGAATCCCTTTTGTCACAGGTATCCTTCCCCGGATCCTTCCTTTCCTAATGAACCTCCTGATACTGCACCTTCCCCTGATCCCCTACCTCATTCCCCGGATTCTTCTACTTCTCCGACACCCATTGCTACCTTTATTACCCATTAATTGCTTTACAATGGCTCTTCTACAGTGGAATAGAGGTTTCTGGCCTCACAGACCTGCTTTTCGCCAACTCCCATCTTCGTATAACCGATTCATTGTCTGTCTCCAAGTAACCTTCTTTACATATCCTCAAGTACTAATTCCCAATGACAATTTTGTATTATCCCCTCATTCTCTCTCTTCTCCATACTTGTCCATCATAAAACACATGTTATACTTCCTTTACAATTCACTGTCCTTGCACATGTATTCGCATCTTTCTTCGCCGCTGGATCACAATTATTTCCATTTACTTCTCCCCTTCCCTTCCCATTGAACTTTGGAACTTTACTTTCCCAACTCCAACCACCTTTCCTTTTAACTGTCGACACACTCTTAGGGGGATTCGCTCCTTGGAACATTTTTTTTTTTTTTTTTCTAATACTGACCTAAAGATGAAAGAGATGAATGAGTCACGAGACTATCTGTAGCGTCCATATCTTCACTCTCTCTAAATTATTTTTCCAAAATACCGGAATGCAGGTGTACTGGTAATGAACATGTATGGGCCTAAATGAATTCAAATTTACACATGTAGATTCTTTAATTGTGACTAGAGCATTTAGATACAACTGCAATATGACAAATGACCTCTTGAAACAGACCACACATTACTAGCACCCTGCCTCCAGAATAGAAATAGTTTCAAAGACTGGAATGTGCACCAGTCAAATTTTCGTCTTCGTTTTCATAAAAACCATACCTCAGTTCTTGCTGAGGTCACTGGTGGTGGTGGAGCATCATATGTCATCTTTTCCAGTAAAGTAGGAACGTCCCGCCAAATACGGGGTTTGATGCCGGACGGTCCAAGTTTATGACATTATTTGAAGAGGAAGAGCCTATCATCTGGCCAAGAACTGGCTCAGCCCTCTTGCGTGAGACCGTTTCGTCCCCAGAGTTTTTCAATACCCACTACTTCAAGCTCGGTAAGTGCTAGTTAGGACATTTTGTTTTTAATTAATAAGCGAAATTCATTACTTAAAATGAGACGATCACTAGTGGTGGTTCTTCTCTTACAAATCTAATAATAATTTGGATCAATATTTAAGGCAATAGAGACAAAAAAGAACTGATAACTGACTATAGAGAGGGGGGAGGAGAGGGAGGTGATAACTGACTATAGAGAGGGAGGGAGACAGGTGTTATGTGGTTGTTTATTTATATTGCCGAGAGAGTGAGAGAGAGACACGTTAGGATGTAATTCCCACTGCATCGTGCACAGACTGAGGTGTGGGACAGTTTCATCGTACCTTTTGCGCCTGGCATACCCGCTGTCCAATTAGTAGTCTGTGACGTCACACTCCCAAAATCCGAAAGTAGTTTCGAGTTTAGGCTTAAGAAGATGACATATAAAGGTCCCATATAATAAATTGTGTCTAATACTGTCAATAAATTAATCTAATACTGTCATACATTCCGTTCAATCTGTTATCAGTTCAAACATGCTTCTGTCCATATTAAGAATCGACCGTTATATGAACAAGAAGTTCAAGTACAGGTACAGGTCTGTACTTGTACCTAAACCCGTATACCTGCACCTGTACTTGTACCTAAAATTTGCTTTGGTACACAGTTCTTCGCTAAACCAACTGCCAAATAGATAAAATCCTTCTTGTATTCTATTTTGTAAATCTTCATTCATATTTTATTATGAAACGCATGTGGAAGTGGTATAGGATCATATAGGATATCATGTTTATTTTTAGGCTCAAAATAGTCAATAAAACGTAATGAAATTAACGTCGAAGACAGTATTGATAAATGGGGGATAAATACCGTTTGAATTTCTTTACGTGACTTATATCTTTTAAACTCGCAAGAAACTATTTATGATTACATTTTGATAAGAAACAATCAGTTTCCTTTCGTCTTCCATTTTGTCTTTATGACATAATAATGATAATGAAAATAATGATATAACAGTACAAAATTATAGTAATAATACTACAAATCATTATTATCACTATTATTGTTATTATAAACTTAGAAATCAGAATCATAAGTATAAGTATGAATAGTTTTTTTCTAGAACCAGTTTGCGTCTTCATACCCATCAGGTATCAACTGATGGGTATTTCTACTAATGAAATATAACAGGAATAGTCGATGTAATTAATAAATAAACGCAATATGAATGTACAATTCTTATTTGATCAACACTGTCATTGCTATTATCATTGTCATTCTTCTTATTATACATTATTATTATCATTTTGTATTATAATTTACCATCATAATGGTAATTATCACCACTACATGAATAATAGCCTTAACATTGTGCATGGTAGGAATGTGGAAGTCAATCAAGTAACTTATGAAAATACAGTTGTAAGTACGTGGCACCGCAGAGAAAGCCTTTAATATGTGAATAAAAATACACTACATGTGTTGTGTTTTTTTTTTTATCAAAAGGCAGACAGACGAATAAGCTGCCTAAGTATAGTCACGTCCAAATTTGTATATTTTGATAAGCAACTAATGACCCCTCGTATAAAGCTCCACAAATACTGAAATATTGCCTTACATGTATATCATATTTGATGATACATGATGATAATAAAAATAATGATATCAATGAAAGTAATAACAGTGATGATTATAATAATGATAATGACTTTAATAATGATGATACACTATCGTTATTAATACAGTAACATAATTAAAGTTTTTTTTTCTAGAACCACACTTCATACCACAAGTACCAAGAGACTCCTATCGATTCCTAACGAACTATAGCAGGATTATTCAGCGTAATTCATAAGCACAATATAAATGCCCACCATTATGAAAATTATCATCACTGTCATTGTTATTGTCATTATCATATTATTATTATTCTTTATCATTAATATTGTATTATCATTTAACCTACTAAAAGTTTTTTGTTTTGTTTTGTTTTACGTCCAAGGAGCGAAAACACATGTTCCTTATATTCTTTTTCCTTTTTCATATGTAGTCATGAAAAGGTTTTATAATGTTTATGATCATATTACATGTAGTTCTTATAAAACATCAGTTTATACGAGTTCTACTTCCACGTCCGTCAGCCAGCTGTAGCCCTAATTCAGCCGAAATTTCTGTCGATTCATAAATATTATGGAAAGAATGGGGGAAATAATAGCTTACAATAATACCACGTCACTGCACTAGTGCAGATAAAACCCCAACCTGATAAACCAAGGGGGGATAGCATGTCTTCGGCTAGTTGTAACAAAAGGGACAAATATCTTATGTAAGAGAGATATAACCAGCATCATAATATTCCCCCTCACAAATGAACATCGCAGCACCAGTAGGGAAATATCTGCTCGCACCAGCCCTTGCAAAAACATATTAGGGAAGTGCCCGCCTGGCCAAAAAAATAGCAGGGGGGATAGTCTATCAGGGTTGAAGTCCCATTAAAGGTTTTGACTGACACCCGTGCCCTTATTTAAAACCTTATTTAAAGCACAAACCACAATGTTTGCAATACAAACATGGAATAACCGCACTCATTCTATCACATTTGCTTGCTTGAATAACTCAGTTAAAATTTAAAATATTATTTCATTTAGTCCCATTTGATTATCAAAATGCACATGATCATCCTAGGTTTATATATTCCAATTAGATATATACACATACTATTACTATTCACTTACTTCCAAAGTGAAGCTTGGCTTGGTAGCAGGCACCAGAGGCATTTTTCTTAATATTTCTGGGCATTATCATTTTCATTTAAAAACTGCACACTACGTAATGCACTACAATAAAAAAAAGCAAAGACGTTTGTTGTTGTTTAGGGTACCAATGCATTGTGTGTTCATGGTTTAATATTGCAATAACAAAGGTATGGTTAAGAACCAGAGGTTCAAATAAAGGTTTTTCTTTATGAGCAGGACTTTTAGTATACATAAGCATAGTATTCCTGTGTGATACTCAGAAATGAATAGGCATAGGAAAAGAGGGCACTGTAGAATGACGGCAGGGCCACTTTAGAATGGAGGGGGGCGGGACTCAACTTTTGCCCCCCGCTCCTCAACATTTTTTAGGACATTCTCTGTAAGCAAAAAACAGTGTAATTCCTTAGTTACCCAGTTATTGACAACACTGACCCCTGCAACTGGTGTTCAAAATGAATATTGAACATTATTAACCATGTAAATACAAATGTCCGAACTTTTAGTGAAGAAATTAATGAGTCTCTCTTTAAAACTGGTAGGTCCAGGACTCCCGGCTATTTTTGATGGACCCCCCCCCCCCACTTCAAAATACCTTCCTATGCCAATGGAATGGAATGTTGCTTTGAGAGTAAGTTCCTTTATACAGTTCTAAAAATAGAAGGTGAAACACTTTTTCTTTTCTTTTCTTTTCCTTTCTTCAAGAATACTTGCACACAGCCAGGTAATGAAGCTTTTCAATTTGTGGTTTACACAGACAGAGACTAAGGGTTTATATTTTTATTACAACCAACATAAGATAGAACACTAAAATCTCTTGATTAAATTAATTAAGATATCAATATGCATATACAGAATAATGGCACATTAAAAAAATGAGATGTCCAAACGCCCTAGGAATTTTTGAGCATAAAATGTGGGCACCCATCCTGTGCTGAATAAAAAATACAAAGCTCCACATTTCCACTGACCACTGAATAGTCTCACCAACTATTCTGACATATGTGAGATTTTCTCATAGCTGTCTTTTATACAAGTTTCCAAAAAGGATAAGGAAACTTTTACCTTAAAAAAAATATATATATGAAGGAAAAAAAAGTAAAAAAAAAAAAAAAAGTACTTGTAAAAATACATCACAGACTTGATTGCACCTTGGAAAACAGACAATCTTCTGTCCTGCAGTCACAACACTAAATACAACTTCTCAAATCTAATAAACATAACAATGGTATATGATCTTTTAAACTCCATTAATTTGCATACATCAGTTACAAAATTGATTTGAGCATTAAGAGCCACAGTATAAATATAAGGATAATTTCTATTTCTGTTTCTGTTTAAAATACATAAAGAATGCTTACCACCCATATTTGGAAAGCAGCAAGAAAGATTAGGACCATATTCAGTTCAAATATAAAATAAAAATCCACAATTTAATTTTGAAATACCCTTGAGTATCTATAATTATGTCTAAAAATCTTCACTTTGGGATGGGAGAGACAGAGACAGAGAGATACTGACAGATAGACACACTCACTCTCACTCTCACACACACACTCATACTTACATTCACACTCTCACTCTTACTCTCAGTCACTCAGTCACTCACAATCTCTCTCTCACTCTCTCTCTCTTGATGCAGAGAATTCTTTGAGGAGCACATACATGTAAAATCAGTGAGATTTCAAAACACCATAATTCTTATGCACAATACTTTAAATTACTGAAAAAGCAGTGTGTCTAGTCATACCCTGTTTCAGATTCAGAATTGGCTAAATCAGTTTGATTCAATTACCTTCTGAAATCTTTGACCACTCTGTTGAAATAACACACAAAGAAAAATTGATCACCTTTAGTAAAAAATATTATGGATCTCTAAAAACTAAATATCTAGTGAATGATGCATTCAATGGTTTTTAAAATTTACTTCATAACTATGTTTCACAAATAATCTGACCCAAATGGTTACAAAACAAAACAAAAAATAATAAATAAATAAATATTTTTTTTTTAAATGTTACATAGTTCAGGCTAGCATTGATAATGAAGCATGCAAATAAAATTGGCACCAGTGGTAAAATACTGTTTTTTTAATATTATTATTCTGCTGTCAATGACCATACACACCAGATATTATAATAAATAGAACTTTTCTTTCACCCAATTTCCATAATAATTTCCGTTGCATCTCACTCTATCATACAAGTATCAGCAGTGCAAATATCCAGAAAATAACACAGAAGATTGAAAAGAAAGAAAGAATTCAAAAGTATGCCTGTCTACAAAGGCTGACTTAGTTCTGCAGACTCCTAAAATAGTAATTATAAAAATGGCAACAAAATCAAGTGAACAAATGACTATACATAGTGTTTATTTACACAGTGCCTATATTCTCTGTCCTTTCACTTGAGAACTTCCCATGTATTACATGGCACTTTATTGGTATGTAGTGTTTATACTTCTTTCTATAAATGTCATTTTATGATCTACAATTTTTTTACATTTTTCTAGACATTTCCATTTGTATCTTTTCTCTCTTAAGTTGCCGAAAATAGTTCCTCTTCCTCTGAATCAGATGGCTGGACATTGATTGACTGGTAGCACTGTTTCTTTAGGTCATAAGCATGTGATCTCACCTGTTGAAAGCATCAATATTAAAATATGAAAATTTGACCACTCATGTAAACGAGAAGATATAGAATAGAATAATTCCATCTTCAAAAACATGAACACTGAGGAACTCACCTCCTGGTGAGTTACACGCCTTATAAGGAATGGACGGAGATACAGCAGGTCCAGACGAAGGAATCCTCTCACCTGAGTTCCCACAGGGGTATCACTCTCTTCCTCTGTGAACTCTGACAAGTGCTCTGAATCAACAGCTTGCCCCTGTTCATGAGAACAGCAAGTGATTAGAAAAAAGAGAAAGAACTTAGTTCTCAGAAATAAGGAAATTAATTTATGGAAAAAAAGGAAAGCAGACAAATTGATTTATGAAAATGTATAATATTGTAATAATGTATATAAAAGGTATAGTATTGTCACAAGCTTGCAATATATTTCTGGAATACTCCCCTCTTTCTACAAGCCTTTTGCTAGATATGTGAGAGCAGGAGGCTCTAGATATGAAAAGCATATACTTCCATGACTAACAGATAATTGGTATTTAAGTAGAAACAAAGCTAAAATCAATGCTATGAGGAGTGAAGACTAGAAATGTTCCAGATGAATAGACACATGTTCCCAACATTTTATGTGAATAAGAACGATGATATCAAGACATCATGATGTGATAAAACAACCTCTATTTTATCAAAGACATAATACGTAGGCCTACTGTGCCTTGGACTAATTACTAAAAAGTACTCTGTCAAAAGAAAGACCTTTGTAGGAGACAATGAAGGTTTCTTATGTCACACAAAATATTTTCAATATTTATTAAAAACTGAGGAGAAAAAATGGAAGCAAATATGCCCCTAAATTTATAAAAGTGACTTTGGAAATTTCACATCATTACTAATAATGTTGGATATAATAATTAAAATATAAAAATAGAGCTTTGGGGATTCCTATATGTAGGAATAAATATGCATCTCATTTACTCTCCACAAAAAACTAATTCTCAATCCTAAAGAATGGATGGTGCCCTTAGCTGACAGAAAATTGTAATTCAAGAGAGGATACAAAATCTCGCTACTATTCCTTACAACCACGATGTACAATGATGATGTGATGACCATGATGAAAAGCTAATACTATCAAGTTGGTTCAATATTTCTTATAACCTCAGCAATAATGACAACAACCTGCAATTAGATGTACTAAAATTAAATTTACCCTGTTGAGGATACTATTAACACTTAAGTTACCATGCATTGATAAGACTATGACCTTTCACTGCTGAATATTAAGTATTCTCCAGTGATCTAAATATGCAACAAAAATATGATCATGCTTTCATGATATAACATAACTATTGTTGCTACTTCTATCCATATGTAATAATATTGAAGTTCAAAGACAAATCAACGAGCAGTTACTGCTATTATTAAAGACCTTACCCATTCTCTTGTCTTGCTCATTGTGAGCTCCTTGTCACGTTCTTTCTGTCTTTTGTTCTTCTGCCTCTTGTCTGCCTTGAGGTACTGTAAATGTATCATGATTTAGGTCATTACTTTTCCAGTCAGAAGAAGAGGACTGAATTCTGCCATTAACCCCCTGTCTCTGATGGCATGACTTACATGCCATGTCCACTGTGATTCTAATCTATTAATCGTTTATACATAGATAACTACACAAGTTCTAACAAATCACCATAGAGTTAATTATTAGTCCTACTGATCTCACCTCTTCACCCTTTTCCTTGATTTTCTAAAAGATTTTTTTTATGATTTTCTATTTTCATTGTCATTAGTATTTTAATATAACTATAATAAACAAAAAATCAATAACAATAATAATATCAGCATCAATAATAAAAGAAGAGGAAAGAAGAACGATATAAAAATTATATGTTATACTTTTATATTGAGGAATCTACATCACAGATTAAAATCATTAATTAAAAATATCATCAACCATTAAGATTCCTCACTGTTGAGTTTTCCTGCATGGTCAAACTATGTTCGACTGAATTATAGCCAATTTGCTCTCAACCTGTACACTTTGCCAGCTCTCCTGACTGTTCTGTTTGCTAAGGAGATTCATTTAAACTAGGAGTAATATCTGTTTATGAGAAAAGCATGTCCTAAAGGGTAAGTAATCCCTTAGAATTGCTCTTACAAATTTGTGTGAATACTAGCCTGAGGAATAATCCTTTGGGATCACTTAGTTCTTGTTCACAAAGTAGAATCACTGTTTCCAATGAAGACAGAATACAAACTTTTGAAAATTTATAGTCTGTTTTTTAACATAAAAAAATACATTTCTAGGACAAGAAAATCTAGCTGAACTAAGTGTACTGGGCTGATATTTGCAAGAACATAATAATACAGATATTACGATAAACAAAAATAAATCAAGGAAGGTCCTTGATACCATCATTTCCTAACTTCAAAAAGTAAATTTGTTACCTACTCATTTCTCCTCACAACTAACCCAGGTTATAAAAGCAAAGAACTGCAGAGAACACCTTTAGCCTTACCTTAATAACAGGCATTGTTGCACCCCCAAGGCAGAAAATGGTAAAGAGTACAATGATGAGAGTTGTTGTTACAATTACATGTCGCTTTTCATCACTAAATTCCAGATGGAGTGCCAAGGCATAAGCAATGGCTCCACGTAAGCCTGAAAAAGAATTTATAATCATTAGGTTAAAAGAGCTGTATTCACAGGTTTATCATGTGTAGGACAAAGTGGGGAGTATGACAGGACTGAATTTAAGATAAGACTCGGACAGGAGTGTGTGAGGTTTGATATTCATATGGAGTGTAGTGGGGGAGATAAATGAAACTTTTACGAAGATGGCTTACAGATTGTCAAGGTATACTTTGGAGATGAACTAGTTCCTTTTAGCTTACAACACAGTGCTTGTAACTGGCTAAGAAGAGTAGTTGTGGCAACTAGATGGTAAATCTGAGTGTAGGTGTGAGATGGAAGTTGATAGTTGTTGAGATGCATGATGAGTAAGAATGGAAGGTGACTGACTGTAAGGCTAAATGGGGAGGTACTGGAGGAAGTGAAAAGTTTAAGGAATCAGGCCCTGTATGTGTTGAGAAATGGGAGTCTATGGTTGAATTGAGATTGAAATAAGGTTAAGGATGCAGGAAAGTTCTAGATGGAATGAATAAAGTCAAAGTTAGCAGCACTTCATTTAAGGTAATGAGGAATCTGTATGGTATGCCTGCACTAGCTGTGTTAAACACAGCAGAAATATGGTGTATGAAAAAAAGATGTATGAATGCAATGGAGACTAGTGTTTGAGGAGTATAAACATGTATATCTACAGAAGGACATGTGAGAACTTGACCTATTGAACCTGTGGTTCATTCATCCCTTAGATGCTAGGCATAAAAGGTTTGAGGAAGGAGAAATGATGGGGTTGTCTTGCCTAAGTGGTTTCTTTTATAAGGGAGCATGTATAAGTGTATTGAAAAATATCTATTCGACTAGCAGAGGCATGAGAGCAAATGGTCCTCTCTGAATACTATAATATATTAATGTTGGAATTTAAATTCTGTCAATTTTCCCAAATCCTGATGAAAGGAGTGTATCTATGATAAATTAATTTTCCAATATTTCTCAACTTTCAAAAATTATAACTTACCACTAAACCACATAATAAACATCATTTTATAGTTGATTTGATGATCTCGAAACTTGTTTACCAGCCATGACAAAGGGAAGATGTTTAGAGCACGACCAAGCAGGCACAGCACGATGCTCCACAGAACAAGTGCAATATGAAACTGGAAAAATGAAGATTATTGATCTTCAGGAAATATATTATACAATCATGATTTAAATATTGTGGGGTTGACTTGGCCTGAAATAACAGAGGATATTACTCAGGAGGTATTACAGTTGTGCTTCAGCTACTGTGGGAATGATTGACTCCAGAACATTCTTTAATTTAGTCCATGACTTTTATTCCACATTTATTCTTACTCACTGAATGGTTACTTTGGAATCCAAATTCCCCGCATTTTGTTAGTAAAGCATATATTCCTTTTCCTGAAATCAGTTTCAGGTGTTACAAACAAGCAGACTTACAGAAACATACTCTTTTCCACACAATATAGTATAAACAGTATTTTTGCAAAGCTATTAATATGCTACTTTCCCCATGTTTCTTTAAGACAGGATGGCAAGAATATATGCCATGTCCACATCAATGGCTCCACAAGGGCTAAATAACCAAGGAGTTAATTAGTAACTGCACCTAGCCTGTTTTACCTTTCTCCTCAATCTTTGAAAAGATAATTTTTTACTTTTCATTGCTATTAGTATTGTTAATAATGCTATAATAATCATGATGTCGACAACAACAATAAAAGCCATCGTTAGCATTAAGAAACACATATTATTGTTGAAAACACAGAGGGGAAATTACCTGAAGCTACATAGGATTACTAATTGGCTTCTTGGTGGCCGAGCACCTGTGAAGCCATCTATGTAAAAATAAAAGTAAAAAAATAAAACAACAGTAGACAGTATGATTGCCCAGCGAAACTGGGTGGTGCAGTTTTCCAAATATAGTGTCACATTTTAATGAAGGTAAACCAGCTCCTTTCAGTGCAAATGTGCAACCATCCCATGTTATTACATTTTGGGATGAAATAAGAATTTAATGAAACATATTTGCAGTGGTTTAATTTACACTTTAATCTATCTCAAAGTGCACCACCTTGCCCCAAGTAAAGACACTTTTAAAAAAGTACAAATGTTGAATCCTTTATGAAAATGAAGGATGAAAAAAAGGGTTCAACTCCATCTAGTCTTCCATATACATTCTTTTCCATATGACGTAAAAGTATCTAATTGTATGTGTATATATGTGTTTGTATTGTATGTGTATGTATGTTATGTATGTTTATGTGTATGTATGTGTAGGTGTACATATATAATATATATATATATATATATATATATATATATATATATATATATATATATATATATATTTGCATATATATCTGGCTATCTCTCTTTCTATTTGAAAATGAAAACATCTAGTTCATACCTGATGCCTGAAGCTGAAGAGTGCTAAACCCAGGTAAATGAACACTGTACACTCAGCAATGAGAGCCAGTGTTCTCATGAGATGCTGCATTGTGATCTGCATGACTGGTGACATGTTGAAGTGGGTGTAGTGGGACATAACAATCCCATTGAAGAGAATTGCCATTATACCTGACAGAATAGTAATGATAATGAATTAAATTATTGTGGCCCTATTACACATATTAGCGTGGATCTAGAAAACCTTGCATTGGAAGGCAAGAGGTTTTGACTGGGGGAAATGTTGGGATAAAAAGCTAAAGACAACATTTACAACATAAAAATCAAGCTCATCTAATAACACAAATTTCAATTTTAAGCATTTCAATATATATATTACATTATATTATATATCATATCATATATATTATATATATCATATATATATCATTATATATCATATATATATATTATTATATATATATATTATATTAATATTATATATATTATATATATATATATATAATATATATATATATAATATATATATATATATATATATATATATATATAATACATAAAAAATAAATCATCAAAATGAATACTGTCACACTTCTCACCTGATAAGTGAATACCCTCAGCCAATGTGTAGGGAGCATATATGAATATTATGATCATCGACAATTCTAGGGACGTATATTCCCGAACAGGAACATATTTCAGGGTGAGAGCGCTGAGGAGAGCAAAAGCCACACCAATACCAGCCGAGGCAAAGAACATGACACAGAAGCGCCATACTGTGTAGAGGAGAGCTTCCCCAGAACCCATAGATGCCATAGCAGGTGAAGCCATCTCCAGGATAGTGCTGAAATTCAAAAGTGCAAAGTTATCTATATAGGACTTTCCTTAAGGCAATGACTTGTCCTACATATCAAATGGAGAATTATGTAACTGCATCAGCAAAAAATGGGTGTATCATGATCTCAATATTCTAATCTAAACAATGAAATATATCAAAAATATCATGTAAGGTCTACATGTGATAAGTTCTTGTCAGGATTTAACTTGAAAATACATGAAAATCTATGAAATTTCAAATATCAATCTTACCTAGTAAGTACAATTGAAACTGCATCATTTAAAATACTCTCTCCAAACACCAACATGTATAACACTTGGTCCACATTAAGAGCATGGAAGATGGCTAGAGTTGCCACAGGATCAACAGCTGATATGAGAGAGCCAAATGCAAAACTTTCCACAAAAGTCAGTTTATATACAACATCAGCCTGAAAGACATGAAAAAGCTAATTAAACATATGCATAAATGCTTGACTCCTACTTCATAATCAAATGATATCCCCTGAGGTCTTTAAAATATAAATATAATGTTAAGACTGTCTCATGAATTCTAAGTACCTTTTATCAAAATCAGATGAAAGTATGACAGTATGCCTAGCAAAAACCTTGGCAGGGATTTTTTTTTCTTTACATAAGATGGATAAACAAAACAGACCTAATGCTCAGGAGTTCAAGCCTCTCTGGTGCCACATGAGAAGGTGGGAACCTCCCTGTAGGCCAAGGCTATACATCATCTGACATCATCTCATCTTATCTTATTATATATTTCACAACAAATAATGTTCATTTGTCTCATACTTGACCCAGTAAGTACACTCCTCCTCCCACCACTAGTGCAGATATGAGTGTTCCTACAACTGCAAACACAACAATGGAACCAATATTCTGGAAGAAGTTGCCCTGAAAGATACAAAGTAAATGTGTTTACACCTGTAATCAACTTGATCAAAAGGGCAAACCTAACCCACTGACACTTGGGTGGCATGTACATGCCATTGCCATTGTGATTTTATTTTGTTTATCTAATTTACACATGGGAAATCATGAGATGTCACACAGCACCTACCTATTGACTCTTTGGTCACTCAGTACTTGTAGTGTAAAGGAATTGTGAAGGATTCCTTGTCTCATATCACACATAGAATTAAGATTACAAAGAATTTATTTAATCTATTATCAATGAAAGAATTACTCCATTCAATTTCGTTCAGTTTTGTAACTTGTTGGCCACAGTGACGGTAGAGTAATACAAACACTCTACAAACACTTATTTTGAATCTGCAGAGGTCTTGCCGGAGAGCTATGTGATATGCCATGTGCTACATAGTTTTTGACCATTAATGTTTTGTAAAGATTTAGGCCGGCCACACTTTAAGTCAACTATTTATAGTATCAAAAATGTATTGTTCAGATGTTTATGGATATGTTAATAACAAAGTTGTCTTTCATGTGATATATAACTTGAAATTACATAATACAAGTACATGCCACATTTAGTTTCTTTTTCATTTCATTAAAATGGTTACTCTTTAGTTATTAAACTTACATAAAGTGCCTTTAAATATCTCAGGAATTGCCTTAAAGTTGTATAAAGAATAGGAATTTTCTTTGTTTGTTCAATGTTTAAAGGATGCCAGTCTAGCAGTATTTTTATCCTAGGCATTTGTATCTCGTATTATGTAACTGTTTTATGATATTTTTACATTTTCTTCTTTATATTGTGTACAATTCTTTATTTCCAAATTTGTGAAGATAAAATTTCTTACAGCATTTCACCACACTCGCTTGTGTCTGTATGTTTGCTTGTGCATGCGTGTGTGTGAAAGCTAGCTGTTGTAATATCGCAAGTTTGGATACACTGCCTACCAGCTTGTGAACTTGACAATAAAGGTTTAACTGACTGCAAGAGTTTTACTTAAGGAAGTACATGTAGAACCATCTGTGTGCAATCAAATTCCCAAAAAAGAAATGCAAAGGGCAGTACATGTACCCAGGACCAATGTTTAAGTCTTTGTTTTGTTTTGTTAAAAAAAAAAAAAAAAAAAAAAAAAAAAAAAAAAAATATATATATAATATAATAATATATATTATATATATATATATATATATATATATATATATATATATATATATATAACTATGATATAAAGAAATTAAGAAAGCTATTAAAATACACTTTCATACCTTGTGGAGATTGTACCCAGACTCAAAGATGATGGGAGGCAGGATGACCAAGAAGAAAACT